GTCAAAGGTGCCCCTCTTTACCAATCTGAAAATCTGGTCACCTTAACTATGCATGCCTTTTTTGACAAAAAACAGGGCTATTTTTTGCTTGTTTTGGGGAGGCATCCCCCAAGAGCACTCTACAAGCCTCCTAAAGGCTATTCATGCCCTCTTTTTGAAAAAAAAAGGGCCTGTTTTCACGAAAAACAGGCTATTTTTGGGAGGTCTTCAGAATGCAAAAACTTTTTTTAATTTGCCTCTTCAAAATCTTGGTGTGTCTTACACTCCGGTGCATCTTATACTTTGAAAAATACGGTACCTCTTCTACCAACAATCAAGAAGTCAACAGCAATGGCAAACAGCCCAACCAAAGAATCTCTAAGACCACCTTCCACCAACACTGCCAGCAGAATATAAACTGACAGTAAACAACAGTCCTCACTAGCACTGATGATGTTACCTGGCTTGGGTAATGAAATGTCTGCAAGAAAACAAGCAACTTCAGAGAGCATCAAGGATCCCTAACTTACCTCTTTTATCTCCTCATAGGTAATAAAAAATATATGGCTGTTATCAAGATACTTGTTCCATTCAATAATATAATCAAAATAAGATCCATAGGCCACTGGTAGGAATTAAGCAGAACATATTGATTAATTATCCATAACAGAGCAAACGATGATGAGGATATTTATTTTGCTGTTTAGCCCCACAAACCCACGAAGTGAACAAACAAACAATGGTGTGAAGCTTATAAGACAAAGTTTGGAGTAATGGAACAAAACACTTCTTTGAATGTTTCTTCTATGAGAAATTCAGAATACTACTTCAACATCAGACAAGTGGAAATTCTGCTTTAAATAATATTAAAGAAATGTAATTCCTTATTTGAATCTTAATTTTTTTCCAATGAAACAGCGCTAGGGATTTGAACCGCCAAACTGCCAACCTTTCTGATCAACAAGCTCAGTGTCTTAGCCATTGAGCCACCACATTCTCTGCCTGATACTAACATAACACTAAATAATGACATTTAGTGGCAACAAGTCTCAGACTTTGGGCTCCAGTGAAACATCTTTCTTGCTTGCTTGAAAACCAGGGAAAAAAAAGGTTTCAATATTTATTTNAAAATTCAACAACATTCATAACTTAGGATGGGGCTGGATAATTCAACAGCCCCAGGCCTGCCGGAACAGCCAGAGCTTGGTCGCTTTGCGATCTTCATGGTGGATATGGTTTAAATTCAGACCCTCCGACAGGGAGAGGTTGGAGTTGACGGCAGAGCTTGCAGATCAGGCTTCCAAAGGTGCTTGATGTACAACCAGAAGTCCTGGACCTATCATTTTCTTGACTTTCTATTTGCTCCCTACATATTGAAAAATTGTTGTTGTCATCATTAGTTGCCAGTCTTACCTCATTCTGGACCTTAGCTTTCCTGATTTCCTACTTACAGACTCAGGCTATTTGCTGATATTCTGATTTAGTTTCGTGCCCCGTTTTCCCATTAAAAAATTTTTTTTTGATCTTTTTGTCCCTCAGTTTGTCAGAGCCTAACAAAATGGTTATTAAAATCAACATTTACTTTAACCTTGTCATACCATAGATAACCGTGCCATCCAAATCTTAATTCATGCCCTTCTAAATCAAGTAGCCTCTTATTTTGGAAGTTCACTCTCTTTTTTCACCAGACCAAATGGCAAGCATAAAAATACCCTAGTTTTGCTTCCTGATTTGTACTTGAGTGACCCTTCTTCACCACTTTGAATACTTTGAGTAATGGGAACTGAAATCCCACATACCATGAAATCATAGTTAGAGAGGATTGCTAAATTTTGTTGGCAAAATTATTTAAAATATTACATGTTACCTTTGCGGAAAAGTACTTGGCCGATTTTTCCTAAGGTTCCTGCATTATCTTTCATGCTTTCAAAACTTGTTTTCTTTAAAATGCTCTCAATCTTTTCTTCGGTCACAGACAAATCAAGGAATTTGGCTATATTTTTCAGTGCTGAGACTGGATTCTGAATAACGAAATATATATATTGTATGTTAATAAGGCTTCACTGGAAACATTTCAATTATCTCTATTCCAAATCTTGATCTGGGTATCACAGAAAAATTATGATATTTGAAGGTTGGACTTGTGTGAATTAGAAAAAATAAACAAGAGAAACAAAGCATAGTCTTCATTCTTTCATTGAAGTATTAGCTACTTCATTAGTAGTATGAATACTTAAATAATATGAATACTTGAATTAGTATGAATACTAATGAATACTTCATTGTTATTAGTAGATCAGCTGATCCAGAGAGTGACTTTAAAAAGAAAATGTTTTTTGATACATTTACCAGTTGCTTAGAGAAAAGCAACCAAGCAGTAACCCTGAGTTATATTTCCTATTGTTATTTCCTAATCAATTGTTCATTATCATAAAGTAGTTGGCCAAAAATAATTGTATTCTTAAATCTAAATCTTTATTATTAAAAACTTATTTTTCGGAGTGTAAGACGCACCTTTTTCCCTCAAAAAAGAGAGTGAAAATCTGTGTGCGCCTTAGACACTGAATACAGCATTTTTTGCCTCCTGAAATCTCACCCCTTCACCAAAATGGCCATGCATAGCCTTTAGGAGGCTTATAGAGTGCTCCTGGGGGCTGGGGAGGGCAAAAATGAGTGAGAAACAAGCCAGTTCCCCCCCCCCCACAGCCAGGAGCATTCTATAAGCTTCCTAAAGTGGGACAGTCCCGATTTATAACAATTTGTCCCATATCCAGGGGCATTTTTAAAAAGTCCCGATTTTCTGGCTTCATGTTAAAAGCCCAGTGGATTT